TAACCAAAGAGCCGTAGGAAACCAAGGCTCGATCGTTGCGCCCCGGTTTTTTGCGGCCATCCGCGAGCACAAAGCCATCTCCTGCCGGAATCTGATGCCAGTTGGGCCTGAGCGTCCGCATTTCAGGGATCCGAGGATATGGGCATGTCTTAAAATAAGAGACAATGCTAGAGTTGCCTTTGGTGTGGCTTCAAAGTGACTCTAAAAAGGGTATCCTCAAGAAAAGACACACTCATTTGGGGGTGTTTGTTTTCCGGGTATTTTTTGTTGGTTTGGTTTCAACTAGAACCAAAAGGGAAACCACAATGTTCGGGGGTCCACTAAAGAATGACTCACCCATAGCAGAAAAGACCGGAAAGAGGTTCAATGATCCACTTGCTCTGTTCAGGGGCGGCGAGGGGGTTCCTTTCTTCCAGGGGAACCAACCCATCAATTCATTACCCTATGACTTACTTCACCAAAAAAAAAAAACAAAAAAAACTAGATGGAACGCATTAAGCCGAGATTGGCGCGAAGACTCCTGTGCTCTTTGCCCAGCCAACCCTGGGATCGGGGCAGCTGGAGCAGTTCTCAACCTGTTGGCTTCTGGCTGGAGGAGCGCATGTTGTGGAAGCGACGACGCAGTGACCCGTCCAAAAAGTCGACCCAACCCCACTTGCCAAGCCGGATCTTTGGATCGTTGGCTGGCTTTTTCTGAGTGGAGTCGCTTCTTGACCCCTGCATCTTCCTAAACCATGGGTCCAGAAATGGGGGCCAGGAATCGGAGCCTTGGTCAATGTCCGAAAAAAGTGGGCGGACCCCTTTAGGCCACACTGGCCATGGTCAACTGAGCTTCCCTGCCGCGCCACGAATGGGTGCGTGCCGCCATATTTCATCGGGTCCGCTCAAAATTACTCCCCAGACCAAGGGCTAGGCACTCCAATCAACAGCAACCTTGTGCAGGGTTTCCGAGCCATTTCCCGTTTTAAAGGGAACCTCCTTCAGCGCATCGATCGCTTCAACGGAAACCACCGGCAAACTGATCAACTCTTGGGGGGGCATCCTTTGTGAATTCGGCGCACAACCGCCCCCTCGGCCGATGCGCGCCGATGCGTGGGGACCCCGGCGCCGCGTCATGGATCCAGGACCCGTGGGCCTGAAGTTCCACTGGGCGGCTCGGCCAGTGGGCCGAAGGGTCCCAACATTCGATCCGTCTGGGTGAGTTGTGTATTTTTAGGTGGGGAACCAGAAAAATAAAGCAAGTAGTACTGCACAGCTGGGGGCAGTTTTCAGTGTTTTCAGTTTTCATCCAAATTTTGCCCCCTAACTTGTGACCATAACCTCCAACGGGCCAGAAGACTGGTTTGCTTCTGGCAAGAGCCTGTGGATGCCAACGGGATCAGCTCAACCAGACGGCATCTTGCTGCTTAAAGTGGGGAAGTGGTTGCGATAGAACCCTACAGCACTCCGCGGTGACCCTTCTCCAGAGTGGTTCCAGGCGGAAGGGGTTGAGGATTGCCGTCAAATGCCGTCTAGTCCAAACCTTCCACCTTCCAACTTGTCATCTTTGGGCCCAAAGAAAGCTGGCCCCAGACTGACGCCCACGGACAAACGCGGTAAGGACATGGACAAATCTGCAACTTGTCCTATAACTCCAGAAGGTAAAATTAAGGGATCTCCAAGTACAGGCTCTTTATTAACTTTATCCTGGGTGAGCCTGTTCTACCCCAGACTAAGTGAGTGAGAGCAATAAAATTAAAATAGCCAAATGACGGAAACATGCGGCGCGTGCCCGTGTTGTTTTTCCCCCGCTCCGCCCGCATTCCCCGCTCCCGAGGCCTTGGGCTTGGCATGGCTCCAGGTCAAGGCCTTGCGCAGGTCCTCGCGGGCTGCTGGTTGGTGGACACCAACCAGTTTAGAAGAAGCAAACTAGGTATGCCGAAACTAGTGTTTTCACATGTTGCTTCACATTTAGCTAAACTAAAGCATGATTTTGGGAGAACAACCATACCCTCTTCCATATTATTGTCCAAGTTACTGCTGGGCTACGACAAGATCGATCGTATCCGTTTTGGCTCAGAGGGCGCACCTCGGGATCGGAACCCGCTGCAAGGGATGCCCGCAGGAAACCATGGTTGTGGAAGAGACCCTTTCTGTGGTGCCAAAGTGGTCGGTTCCACCATGGCTGTTATTTGATCCCTTGCAAGGGGATTTGTTCGGTATCTCTGGCCACAGCTCACTCCGAAGGCGCCCGTGCCAGTGGATTGAGTAGCTGCTAGGGGCTGCAAAAGGTCTTGTTGCTGAAAGGCACTGGTCTCCATCGCCCTGTTTGTCTCTGACGCTGTCCTCTCCCGTCTCTTGTTCTGGGTCTTCCTTGGGGGGTTGTCCACTTGAATACTTCTCCAAGCTGCCAAGCCTGAGGGTTGTAGTGGGCCAATGTACATCCTAAACACTCTCGATCACCCCCAATGACAGTTTTGCGTGTCTATTATAGGGCTTGAACAACAACCAAACACATCCGTACCTTTTCAAGGCGCCCTGTTTCATGTTTAAAACATCAAAATGGGGTGTTTAGCACCCAGATTGGGACCAACCCCGTCCGCAAATCTCCGACATCTCCTCGGGGTTTTGGAAGAGGTGGCCGGCCTGCATAGTGCCGAAAAGCCTCGGGGTGTCCGCACGCTTGCCGGCCGAGGCCATTCAATACGGGGGGGCGTGCCATGCAATTCTTAGAGACACCCTTTTGAAGACCCAGCAGCACCTGCCAAACAATGCGCAAAGCAAACAGATTGCAAAACAAACACTAAAAAAAACTAGAGACCCTTCCCCCCCTCCCAACGGCCTGCTTTGGCCTGTTCAAGGCTTATTCGGCCCTTTAATCAGGGACGTGTGGTTTGGTGATCTATTGTCTGTGATTGGCAAGGGCGACAACGCCAAGCTCACTTAGGCTGATTGTAGCGCCAAAGCCCAGTAAGGCTGCTTCCGGGGTTGATGCTTTCTTGCGGGGTTCTACTAATGGGCCCTTCCGGGGATTGCTCCAGGTAATGCAAGCACACCAAGCATCTCTCATGCCCATCTCCTATTTCAGCCCGCGCCAGTTCTGACTCAAGCGCCGCCTCATCGCATTCCAACTTCCAACCCAAGCTCCCACCCACCACCCCAGGACAAATACCAAGGCCTTCTTCGGGAAGAAAGGGCAGGGCTGGGAGCGTTTTCGCGAAGACCGGGGGCCAGGGCTCCCGGCTCCGGCGGGGTGATGCGCCCATCCCGCAGCGCGTCGATGCCTTCGAAGAGATACGCCTCGACGCTTTCGAGGCGAGGGCCCCGGAACGACGAACAAAGAATCCGGCTCACAGACCTTCAAGGGTGGGCTTTAGGGAACCGGGGCAATCCCTAGAGACTTGGTGAAAACTGAGGGACATTTTTTCCAGACATGGGTTGGCTTTTTGTCTGGGGCCAACGTCACGTCCAAAAAGCCACATAACGTCGCTTTTCGATTTCCAGGGGTTCTCCCCGAGGTTGGCGCCGCTGAAGGCGCCCCCAACGGCGGCTCCAGCTCCTGAAGCCCGGCGCCGAACCTCGGAAGCCGGGGAGGCTCGGCCAACGTGGATGCCAAGGCCTCATGGGAAAACACCGTGGCCGTTACACCGCAAAACAAAACAGCTCAAAAAAAAACGTGAGAGAAAAAACCCTACGGCTGCTCTGGAAACAAAAGCAAAAATTGGCTGAGCAACATGGTGAAAAAGATGGGGGGCCATGGCTTATAATGGGCACGCAGGGCTTGCCAGGAATGATGAGGCTTCCATGCGGTAAGTCAGATGTAAATAAATATGAGGCATAGCTGGGTCAGCAAATCTGAGGTTCGTTCAACATCTCCATAGATGGTTTAGTCCGGGTTCGGGACGCAGGAACAAGCTTGCCGCAAAAGAACATGGCGAATGGGGCGGGGGCGTTGGGCCAAGCTAGTTGTTTAAATATGTTTAAACCACTATTGTGAAAACAGTCGCTTGGTTTCCTTTCCGGCCTGCTTGCTCAAGCAAACCTTGAATCCGGTCAGAAACTCCCCCAAACTCCTCCCCCAATTGAGCAGCAAGGGCGCCCCCCCGGTTTCACTCTTCTGGCTTAAAAGATGTCCAAATATCAATACTTGCTTGGCAACCGGAAACTTGTTCAGACAAATGTCCTGCAAGTCGGGGAGTGGGCATGCACTTCCTCATTGCTGGCATGCAGAAAGAATGCAATTACTGCCCACGTTAAATCTGCATGAGCCTATGGGTACAACCCGCCACACCCACTTGCACAAAGGCCTCAGGCGTAGGTCAACCCAGTCTGGATCAAGGAAACCAGACACTTTCATTGACGGATTTTGCCACTTAAGTCTAACACCCATATGCGTGTGTCTCAAAATTGGAATCGGACCCCTGTTTGGCATGTTTGATGTTTGGATGCGTGCAAAAGGAAACCAAGAAAAAAACACCTGGAGGGGTCCCCGATTTTCAGAAACACCCATACCTGCAAAATCCGGACAATTCCCCAGGGCGCAAAAGCCAGCGGCTTTTTTCTCTTTTCACACCGAGCCGCCGATACGCCCGTCTTAGGCACTCGCAGGTTACATCAGTGGGAAGCACACCGGGTTCAACCAGCAAACCAAGAGGAATTCCAATGTTCAATATGCCCTTGGAGATGCTTGAGCTAGATGCTTCAAGTTCGGGGAAGACCCTGATTTATCTAATCTGCAAAAAATAGGATAGCACTACAAAAAGAAGTGCCTAGATAACCTGAGATACTACCCACTTGCTTGGTAACCTGCCCCTTGAACTCACCAAGCGCGGCAAGCTCCGCTTGAACCCGCCCGCCAGTCCATGCGTTTCATCCGCGACCGCAGTCCACTTCTCCATGGCCTCCTGGATCCGACGCTCCGCGACATCCTCGCGCAACGAAGAGCCGCCGAGCGCTTTGCGCGCTGCACTCCACCCGGACGGAACCCATGGCTCCGAACGTTCCACCGATTCAGCCGACGCCTAGCTGCAAAGGCAGGGCCATGCTCTCTGACGAAGATAGGCCTGGAACGCCTCTGAGTCGAAGACCAAGAGATCCTCCAACTCCTCCTCCTTAGGTTTTGCAGAAAACATACGGAGTTCGTCTGTGCAACTTGCTTGAATTCGCTGACCAGACTTAAGAAATCACTGTGAGAGGGACCTGCAAATCGGTGAGTTCCCTAGAATTCATGCAGAACCAATTCAATTGTCGGCGGTTCCAGAAATCTTCTATCTCAAAATACCAGCAAGAGAAGATGACTTGCTGGTGCTCTGTTGGGAATGTGGGAATGATCCCAGGGATTCCCTTAAAGCAAGCCATGAAGGATGGTTGCTAGGGGTCATTCCCTCATTCCCTGCTGAGCACCAGCAAGATGAGCCCAGTTCTGGCACAACCCTCCCCCGACTGCCGCCAGCGCCGCGCTGAGGATCTGCGAGACTTCGGGGTCGATGCAGGAGCTGCTTCGATGCACCACGTGCATGCAAAGGCCTGGAGGGGCGCTCCGGACCGAATGTAAACCCTTCTTTGGCGCAAGTTTGGGGTGTGTCAGGTGAGTGGGTAAGTAATAACCATGGTTATGACCCACTTCCCACGGAAGTAAAGTGGGTGAAAGCCAGGCTTACTAACCACTTACTAAGTAAGCTGCCCCTTTAAGTGCACGCTTTGGACCCAGAAGCTAACCCTGCCGGCAAGGGGTCAAGCGAAAAAACGGTAGCCCACTGAGGTACACACAATGTGCTTAGATTCTGCGTGATATGTTCAAGCCCCACTTATCTTCAACCCAACTTTGGGCAGAGGAAGCAAAATGTTTGAGGGCACCATTTCTGGGGTCGGGTTGAAGCGAAATCAAAGAGTTCGCTCCCGCCTGTACTGACCTGCTGCGCAGCCAACTTGAGTATGATAAACCGAAGCAACAAGTAAGGTCCCCCTCCTCAGTGATTCCAATTTACACTGCGCCGGAGGTCAAATAGAAAGCCTGAAAAAGTCAAAAGTAGATTCAGTGGCCCATCCCGTTTCAATGTCCGAAAGGGGGGAAACTAACAATCATGGGCTATGGAGCACAGTATATGCTCAGTTGCCCAAAGGACCCAAATAGAAGGTAAACCTTCTTGGAACCTTGACAACAAATGGACCAAATCAGGGAAACAAAAAAATCAATATGCCTTGGCAACTGAGGATAGGCACACAAGGGAATCACCATTTAACACCTGGAAGGATGTCAAAACATCCCCACCCCCCTTAGGGGGACGTCTGGAAATGTAGTTTGCATTTTCTGGGGTTTGCCACCTAAAAATGTAACGGTTGCATTTTTGTTTGCAGACCTGAAAAATGTAAGATTACATTTTCGACCCGTCAGCCAAGGCACCTCACACATAGCCAAGCTACATTTTTAGGAAAATGTAATATTACATTTTTCAGGCGCTTGAGTGTGGAGAACGGACATGTCAGGAGACTAATGAGGGATGGTATCATGGGACACTGCTTTTCAAATCAGCGAAAGCCTCAGCGTTCTTTGCGAGACGTCATCATGGGTGCGATTTTCTCCGCCGCGCGCCCTGTAAGTTGCTGGTAGGGCGCGCTGTCCTTTCCCAAAGGCAATATCGCTGCTCGGCGCAAAACCACATGTGAAAAAAAGATGAAAGAAGCACTGTCCAGCTGCGGGTCAGTTCTTTGCTAGCTCTCCCAATCTTACATTGCGGAAACCTCGCAAGCACTCTTGCGGGCGCATCATGTGAAAGTTCCTGATGTTCTCGCTAGCCGTGTCCGTCGCAATGAAAAGCCTGTAATTGAATTGAGTGGAAATCAAGATCACGTCAGGCACTTCGAGCCACAGACCGAACTCGTCATGCCCGTCAGTGAATTTATGTCGCAGAGGAGTCTCCGTCAGCGCACAATGACGATGACGTCAGCCGGAGAACCTGCCACGCGCACCAAAAAAAGCGCGATATAGGCGTGGGCACGCTTGATTCTCTGACACCATCAAATTAAACTGCAGAAATGGATGCACGTGTAACTTTGCCGCTTTTGTGTACTGACATCCTGCGAACATACTGAGGCACGTTGGGGTCAGCAGCTTACATTTCTTCCGGGGCTGTGTGTTTTTTCAGGGGAGGGGTGCCAAAATGTAAGATCCGGCTTTCTAGGTAGGAGATTTTGGGAGGCTGTCAGGGAATGGAATCCAAGGACGCCTGCAGAGACAAGTGCGCCTTCAAAAATGACCATCGTTTCCCCCCTTTTAAGGGGGTGGGTCAAACAACATCAAATAACATCATCACGTTATAGCCATGTGACGTGCGCAGATGTTTCCTTTGCCAAGCACGGCTTGGGCTCGCAGTGCTACATCCCCAAAGCAGGCCATGCGTCACACACAGTTCGTAACCTTGCCTTCAGCGCAGCGCACTCCGAGCACTATGCATCCAGCGGTGGCCGCAAAATGTTCCAAGATGTTCCAAGACAACCCAAAATGGTCCAAGCGCCCAGCAAGAGCCTCAGACTGGCCAGGCTTGTTCTTCACCACAGAGTCCGGTTGCTCCTGCCGCCAGCATTACTCGATAGATGCCGACGCAAGGAGATCAGCCACTTCCCAACTGATGCCAGCGCGGGGAGCCAAACTGAAAGGTAGTCCTCGCCCTTCTTGTTTTCCACATCTGCTCTGTCCGCAGAAGCCCAAGCTTCACGCATTCCACGCACATGCCTTCAACAAACCATAAGAAACCTATACCTGGTATGGCCTGGTTGCAGAGGCCAGGAGAGAGGTCTGAACCTTGGGGGACGTGGGGTGGTAGGTAGATGGCCAAGCTAGCTAAGACCCCCAAGCAAAGTTCAAACAACACGTCCTCTGTCCGTTACGCATCTGCTGCAATTTGAACATGCCCCTCGGTTAATTGCATCACGGGGCGTCTTTTTCTCACTCCGCGCGATGTTGCCTAGTGACTCATGATGGCCCACTCTGGCCCAGGCCAACTAAGCAGTTCTAAGATTTCCTATGATTTGCACAAGTTGCAAGGAACCCGCAAGCACGACAATTAGCACAAAGACCACCTCGACTCAGCACTATTTTTCTGGCTTCCCTTCCGGCCATGCGCTCCTCAGACACGCTCCTCAAACGTGTCCTAAACTAACATAAACGCTCGGGCCAAGGGATGCCAGAAGGCACATTGCTTTCCCACACGCTGCGCAAACCGTCCCACATCAGATATGAGAAAGCGTGGGCATCATCTTCACATGGTTTTACATGAACAAACAGCAGACCAAGCAGCTACTCTGTGATCATGCTAGATAGATCACGCTAGTGCTCAAAGCAAAATGGCAAAGGTGTGCCTACTTTGCTTTTTGCAACAGTATCGGGCTTACCACTTTCTGGCCCAAGAGCAGGTGTTAAATAGCCACCTGCTTCTTGACCAAAGGTGTGTCAAATTTGACCCCTCTAGCATTACGCCTGCGCGTCACAGGCGCAAGCTGGTCGCGAAGGATTGATGCCTTGGGCTGCCTGCTCCGGTGTAAACTGAACTTGGCAACGTTGGATGCAATGTCCTTGCCACGCGGTGCCCAGGAGTGCATGCTCAGACAATCGAGAATCACTAGGACTCTGATCTGCCCAGTCCCCCATCTCAATGATGGGCTTTGGCTGCAGGTCAACACAAATCGTGTCTGAACATGTGAGTGGACCAGCTTACATCATCTTACATCTACGATTCTCCAGGTAAAACTTGGCGACCTAGCCTGCAAGCCGCTGCTGAAGCATCTGAATCATTGAACATGTCATAGCACTCCATGACCTCCACCCACTCCAGCTCATTTTTCAAGGGTTCTCTCCACCTACCCTGGGAACAAAAAGGAACGCGCAGGGCAACCTAGCCTGCAAGCCGCTGCTGAACCATCTGAATCATTGAAGATGTCATAGAGCTCCATGACCTCCACCCGCTCCAGCTTACATTTTTTCAAGGGTTCTCTTAACCTACCCTGGGAACAAACAAGAATGCGCAGGGCAGCCTAGCCTGCAAGGCGCTGCTGAACCACCTGAATCATTGAAGGTGTCATAGCATTCCCGCTCCAGCTTACAAATTTTCAAGTGCTCTCTCAGTAAACGTCGCTGGGCCGACCACCCAAAGGACCGTTCTCCCAACCAACGCCAGATTTCTGCTCAGCAGATTTGAGCAACAGAGCCTAACAGAGCGACGGCAAAATCGCGCAAAACGCGGAGCATCGAGAGGCAATTGAGGCCCTGACAGACTTGGCGCCGCCTTCGTTCGTGAACAGAAAGTTCTTGTTGTCTTTCTGCTTCTCCGTCAACTGCCGCTTCTTTGCGTACGTCTGCGCGGCTTTGTAGCTGCACAGGGCTGCTTTGCCGTCCGGAGGGTGCCAGTAGTCTGGCGAGAAGGGCAAGCTCATCCAAGCAAGTTACAAAAATAATCTCAGCCTGAGGAAACCCACGCAAGGGACACCAATCAAAACCGTTGCCACATCAGCCTCGGAGCCATCCACCAACCCTGCTGTATCCCCAGCCACGCGGGTCCGGCACTCCATGCGCCAGCCAGCGTGCGCCATGAAACAAACCTAATTGATCCTACTTGATCCTATTTGGCCCACGCGCAAGCTACCCCAGCAGATAAAATCAAGTATCGCAGTGACAAACATTGCGCGGCGCAGTCCGTTTCTTTCTGTTTCCTGCAGGCCACAAGTGACTCATGTCAATACTTGACAATGCCAAAGCTGCTTGGTATCGAGCAACTGCGTCTGTGCTATGTTTGTTAATTTTCTCCATATCTTGTTTTGTTTGACTGAGTTTGTGGTAGTGTCATGTTGCGTTATGTTGCAATATGTTCCTGCCTGAGCCCATCTGGAAATCGGGGGAGACGTGGGCAAGCGTGATCAATCTGCGTCAACCATCCTCGAACGAAATAACAAAGCGCTTCCCGGCCATTGCGACTAACTTCTAAAAAGGGGGGAGGAAGGGGGCTCAACAAATGTAAGCTACGTTTTTCTACCCCCTCCCCCCCTTTCTCCCACCCCCCCACTGACCTCCCCTGTCAAGCTTCCAAGGAAATCCTTGACAATCCTTGGACATGACATTTTTTTGTGGGGGGGGGGTTGAGAAAATGTAACTTCTACGTGCCCAGGTGCAAGCTACATCTTAAGCCCCCCACCCCCCCTCAAAAAAAAAAACGAAAATATACATCGGGGCTGATAACCTGTGATTCGGGCACAAGCCTGTGCCCAGGCAATGGGTAAGTTGGGGTAAACAAGCCACAAAAGAAAGGTTCCCCAAAAGCAAACCAATCCCCGGTCCCAAACATCAGTGTCTCCCACACACCAGAGAACAACAACCAAAAAGGGGAAAAAGGTTAACCCGCAACCTTGATCGACGACAGGCCGCACGAATGGTCCCTACCAACCTGACGGCGGCCCGAGGTCTCTTTCTCCCCCGAGATGTCGTCGGTCGACGCAGGGGTTCGGCGACGCCCATCCAAGGCGCGACGGAACCCATAAACTTGAGCCAAACACCACCGGTCAGTCACTACCGCGACTTCCCAATCACGGGGGGCATCTTACATTTGCTTTGGGGGGGGTGCAGGGGGGGGGAAAATGTAGGTTACATTTTCAGACGTCCCCCCCCTTTTCGGACCCTCAGGGGGTGGGGATGTCGAAACGGAGATTTCACCGGTCCATGTCACGTCCGAGAGATTTGTCTGAAACTGGGCCCTACAATGGTGAAAGACCGTTGAAAGACCCTTAGCCTTGTTCAAGCTATTCCGAAAAGATGCTCCCCCAACTCCTCGATCTTTCCCCCCGTGGCTTCTGTGCTCAAGCGCTGGCCCCCAAAAACGCGAACGGCGCGCGCGCGCGCAAAGTAGGTCCGCTCGCCTCTGGCATCCTCCACCAGACCGGCACGGCCCAGATTTTTCAGGCGCAGCATGAAGGGCGCATCCTCGGCGAAACCCAGATCCGGATACCTCAGATTCGTCATCGGACAGGGGAAATTGTTCGCAGGTTTCTACAAAGGTCGTTTTAGCAAAAGCTGTTAGCGTTAAACATTTAAACTTCGCAGTGCTCCAAAGACAGGGGCCCTTGTGAGTCGCCCTTACTTTTTTTCTGTGGGGAGGGGGAGAGGGAGGGGGAGGGGGAGGGGGATCAACATCATCGCCTGTTGCTTGCGTATTTTAGGCGACCCGATTGGTACCTATGTCCAAAACTCCACCGTCCAAAAAGCAGGGGGCGTGGGGCGCGGTGGCAGAGGATCTGCTAAAGGATTTCCTGGAGCCAACCAGTGCTCCCATTTGACCTTGTCACGAAGGTGGTTGGCCAACTTTCTGACTGTGTGGTTTGGCAATTTTGAGGTTCCTGGGTGGCTCGCTGTTCCCAAACCCCTGTTGAACATTGAAACTTTTGGAAACTCCCTGCCACTAAACCCTCAAAAGCCAACACTCTACTGTTGACCCCATATTCATCAACCCCAGTTTATTAATAGGGGGTGTTCCCCTGCAGTGATGATTAGGCATCTAAACACAGGAACACCCCCCTATTAACAAAACTAAAGTTGATTAGTATGAGGTCAACATCAAGAGGATCAGCCGGAACCACCAAGGGTCGGAGCAAGCCCTTTACACTTTCCCATTCGGCCCGATCAGGGTAGAACATTGGCCACAGGAAAGCCGGGAGCCAACGGGAAAAAACAAAACGATTGAGCCAAACGAACGTGCTTGGCGTTCCGATAAAACACGTGGACACGTTGGAAAATCAGTGTCAAAATCACTTGTCTGGGGTGGGTTTATTCCGACGTTAGGCCGTCCCATATCATGCTTCAGTTTTTTCAGGTTTTGGGGTATCGTTGCTTGGACGTCCTGTGTCGCTTTTCAAGAAAAACAAAATGCATAAAGTAAATAAGCTGACTCATATGCGAGGTCGATCCCTTTTCTTGTTTGTTAATAGGGTGTGATCCTGCTAAACTTAGACCCAGCGGCCATGGGTAAAGCAGGAACCCGTTGTCTTAGCACTTGATTTCAAGGGAAACTCAAGAGGCAAACCGAGTTCCAACGCAGCGCCGGTCCGGAATTTATGAATGTTTGTGACTCCCTCCTCACAAGATGCAAGTTCTGGTCGGGCATACAGAACCCCCTTCCAGGAGGGAGTGGTTTCCATGGTTTCTATTCAAACCATCGCCACAAATTCCAAAAAGGCAAGCTATCTAGATGAAGCTAGGATCCTTTCCAGGAAGCCACGAAAACCCAGGACGGACATAGCGACCGGTAAAAAAAGCGTAGGTTTTTTTTTGTTGGTTAAGAAAGCTGAAAACGCCTGCCTTTCCCTCACCTCTCTCTCCGAACACCTTCAGGCGGTCCAGGCGGTCCAGGCTACGGAAACTGCAGCGCGAGGCTGCGAAGGTGCACGTAGCTGAAGCCGTAGCCATAGAGATCTCCTGAGTTGTGGCTTGGTGGGTGTCTTTTTTGGGAAAAGTCCCGCAAGTGTGGCTTGGTGTTTTGGGGAGATTTTCTCTGGTTGGTGGGTTACTTTTTTTGGGGGGGGATTCTCGCAGGTGTGGCTTGGTCTCCAAGGAAACCACTGAAATGTTGGGAATGACCGCCTTAAAGAGAGCCACAAGGGCAGAGTTCCATGGAAGAGAGCTCAACACCATACTAGGCTTTGTCGAAATGAGGAACCCCCTGCCAACATGGGCGGCCACTTCCTGTTGGTTCCCCATTAAACGACACTAAAGAGGGTACCCTCAAAAAGAAGCACCCACTTAGTGGAGGTACCTCAGAACAAGAACAATCCAGGAAGTACTTCAAAACAAATCAGGAAGGACTGGTGAGTTGTGTCATACCCTACCTTGTTCAGAACAGCCGTGAGATTTTCTGGATTTTAGTGAACATATATTTTGATGGCTGACTCCCTCATCAATTGTAACTCCTGCCCAATTACATTTTGCTGGGACCCGATTTCGAACTCACTTGCCCAAACGGACCTGGACGTAAAAGGCTACCCTCTCCAGGCTAGCATGGAAGCTCCCAGGATCTTTGGAAGCCTTGCTTCAAATGATGCTCCATTCACCGAGGCGCTCTGGGAGCTTCCATGTTTGCCTGAGGGAGTGTAACAGCCGGCGTTCTGACAGTCCATTCTGACCATCGGAGGGTTTTGGACGACGACAGCTTCCTTTTGCGGGGAACCTCCATGTCCGCTTCCGTGATTGTTGGAAAGAGGGCTGAAAAGCTCGGTTTCGCATACGGGGAAGAAAAAGACTTTGGATGGACGAAACCTTCACCACCTTGAAACCATGGAAAACACCACTGTTGGTTGATATTATAGGGGCATCTTTCCAGGGTTTCTTAGGTGCTGCGAGATGGATGTCGTCGAGGGCGCGGTTTTTGAGTACAAGTGAAGGTAAGCTTCCCTCCAGCTCGGCCTGATCCTCACAGTCCCAGGCGGCAGGGTCAGAGTAGCCGCAGGTGCCGCGATCCTGAAGCTGTTTCAGAAGTACACAGCTACCCTCCCACCATTTAACAAGGAACCTGACATTTTTCCGGGGTCCTGAAAGATGTTACTCTTAAAGGGGCCCCTGTCCTGTTCCATGTTAATTGGTGGAAGTATCAGAAACCTCTCCTTGACTTTTCTTCGGCTCCTTGTGCAATAACATCCTTCACAAGATAACAGCTGATTTTCAAATGTTCGAACAACATTCACCCGGCTACTCTGGATGGACGAAATCCGCATGGAAGAAGCCTCTAAATACTGGGCTAAAAAAACCAACTGAAGCAACTTATCCATCAGTTTGTTTGGGACAAGTGGTGCGTTTGGGGGGATCGAACGCCTTCAAGATCTACAAGGTCTCCCCCTTCTCGAAATGGTGAACCCCTATGGCTGTTCTCGGAAGGGAACCAAACAGGAACCCGGCCATTGTAGCCGCCCCTATTTGGAGAAGCCCCGATTGCTGCTCCCCTTTTCAACTTGGCGACCAAGAGATGCAAGGCTCACTTCAACTTGGCAACCGAGAGATCGGATGGTGGTTGAAAACAAACCGACGCCTCGCCAAAACCGCGGCTTCTCGGTTGCTTTCTGCTCCCCTGCTAAAAGTGGCCAACTTTTAGTGGTTGAATAGAAAAACTCATTTGGCAAAAAGTTAAGGTCTTAACATCCCTTGGCAAAATGCAACATCTTAACATCCCTTGGCAAAATGCAACAAAGGCGTTTTCAGCAACGTGACAAAAACTTGGGTGCTGTAGATCCCCCAGCAAAAAAAGTTTTTGTTTTTTTTTTCTGGTCAAAAGGAAATATGAGGGGAATCCAAAAAGTTAAAGCCTAAAGATCCAACCCACTAGCAGTAGAGAAAAGGCCTCGAAGTAGTTGTACCACGCGGAGAAGGTCAGAGCGCCCAAATTCCGGCGCACCAACTCCGAGACCATGGCCTCACAGTACCTCCGCTTCTGGGGTGCACACAACGCCCCGGTTTTGCTGGGCTGACGGGGGCCACCACACATGGCTCCTGGGTTTTTGAGCTGGTACCTTTTTCCCTTTTGTTTTTCAAGGGAAGCTGAAAGGAACACCGAAGCCAGTTTGGGGGGTTCAAGCCACACCCACACGTGAAGGCAACCTCCCCAAGCCCTCTAAATGCCTTCACACCCTTTTAGGCCGACCTTGCAAGGTGCTTCCAAAGAAGCGAAGCATCCCCTATGTAAACAACAACAAAAAACAAGCGGGCCCAGAAGGGAATCATTCATCCTGGGTTCCCATTGGCATGGGCCATTGGGAAAACCAAGTGGGGACCAACAAGGAACACGAAAGAAAAACATAAACATTAGAAGTTGCAATCCTGAGCTCCAATTACATCTGACCCCCCTGAAACATGTTCAGACACCTATTGTTTGAACAGCCTTCTTGTGGGTTTCCCTTTGAACCAGGGTCTGGTTGGTTACTGTAAACAATTTTGCCCAACCGCGAAAAACGATCAACAAGGTCGGATCTGGCGACTTTGCTTCGTGAGAGGCACCCCTCTGCGTAGAAATCATCGTCGTCAAAGTTCACGCAATACCTCACTCCATTCCACTCGTAGGGGATGTCGGGCTGGAAACCCTGTGTGCCCCCTGTGTTCCCCACAACCTCCAATGGATCTCCATGGGAACGACGTGGCACACTTTTGGCAGTTAATTTTAACGGGAACCTCCCGGGGACAAGGAAGCAACCCGGTGCTTTGGCTCTGGCCGCACAACGTGATGTCAAAACATCCCGCAGCATGTAAGACTCAAGGTGTTAAACTATGATTGATATAGGGCCTTATATGATTGGAATGGGGGTTGTGGGCTACTTTTGATACCAACAATTAGATATAATTCTAGAGCAAACTGTGAGAAATTATTCAGCCCCTTTTATCACACCCAACTGTACACGGGGATTCCCCCTGGAGTGCCCCAAAGTGGTGCTTCTGGTTGTATAAAGTTGTTTTTGTGATAACTGAAGTGGCCCAATGCCCAGAAGCTTGAAGCATTTTACGCAGAACGCAAGTTTTAGTTGGAGGCCCTTTGGTGGACATCAATCACAGAGGGATTTGCAGTGTATTGGGAAAAGGGGTCTGAAATTCGCCAGCCTCTAAGCCTCTAAGCTTTTAAGCCTCTAAGCTTCTAAGCCTTGCAGTCTTTGAGCCTCTAGGCCTGCACGCTCCTAAGCCTGAAAGCCTTCAAGCCTTCCAGCCTCCACACCCCTAAGCCTCTAAGCCCCTAAGCCTTCCAGCCGCCACGCCCCTAAGCCTCTACCTTCGTCAGGTGCTTGGAGGCTTAGTAGAGGCCCAAGTCGCAAGCCTCCTCGCCTTTAAAGCCTCCACGCTTCCACGCCTCTCAGCCTCTAAGCGGGCGCTGGGAGTAGAGGCTTGTAAGCTTAGGCGCTTGGAGGCTTAGAGGCTGGTGTTGAAATAGGCAGACCCCCTCTCCCAATACAATGGGGACTTGTAACCCGCCAACCATTTCCCAAGGGGCTCCATATGTGTGGATATATCCACACACACCTGCATGAAGAGTTTCGCCCCATGCCTCCCACCAAAAACAAATCAGCGTGCAAGCCTTTGGTTGCGGCGCAATGCGGCGCAAATAACAAGCCCCAGGCCTTGCCACGCCCCATCACATCTCCAATAAAATGCAACTTTTGGGTAAAACTCAACTTAAGGCAGGAAAGAAGTGGAGCTTCGACTTTCTATTCCTGCCTCTTTACGTTTGCATGCTCTAGGGCGTTGGGCTCCGTGCATCTCAACTTTGATTAGCCCAATAGACAAATCCGGGGTCGGGGAGTGATTTATTTCCTTTGGAATGCTTTGATTCGTCTGATCTTCCCGAAAATATAATTAGCATGGTCCCTCAACTTGTTTTCCGGGCGAGACGAGGCAGCGTAGAAACAGTTAATCCACGACCCACTTCTCTGTTCCTTGTCTTCTTCATTCCACTTCTCTATCTCTTTCTCTTTTCCACATCTATCTCTCACCGAATCAACCCTTGAACAAGACGTGAGAGGTGGGAAAGAGATAAGAGATAGCCACAAACACAATTATAAATCTATCATTATCATGTTGAATATGTATTTTGTATTGCTAATGAAATCTCATTTACAATCATATCATTGCCGTCTGATCGTAAACTATGTTTGCACTATTGTTTTTTGTTTTACAACTATTTTATTACAACTTATCTCCGGAATCGTCTTAGGTTTACATGTAACATCAGATTTTGATTCAGCATATTGTGCACCTGCAAACAGTTGCCGTTTCACGGAACGCGCCGAGAACTTGCAACATTTGAGGAGGACATGGGGCGGTGCAATACAGTAAGGATGCCTTTGACTCAGCTACCAAAAAGACAGAGCCTGTATTCACATCCTGAGCAGAGGCGGGTTTCTTCAGCGATGAACTTTGCAGTTCGTTCACAAAACCCAGTTTGATTTTGAACAAGGGTTGAGAGATCCTCCCTATTCAAGACCTGGCACTGGCCGCTCGCCAGCAGCACGCAGAGATTCCGCTTGGTGCCTACGTTGAGGTCCTCCTTCCGAATGATTTCCACGGCTCGCTTCAGTGGATTGCGCCAAACAACGGGTTGCTCCACGTGCTAAGTCAGCTTCCCTCTAGTTGGTGGTTTGGATTGGTGGTTTGGAGGTTAGGGGTGGTTGAATGATGAGTCTGGAAAGGATCAAAAGAAGGACCATCAACTTTAGGCTTTATTTTGTGCGAAAGGGTTTGAAACAGTATTTCGGGAGAGAATAAACAGGCCCAATCCCACCAACAAGAAGAGATTGTTTAAACCCCCCAGTCCCAAGGGCAAAGTGGTGCCCTCGGCTGGCCGAACACGAACCAAAACAGGGTGCCAGTTGTAACAAGGTAAAGAAGCCCAGCAAGGGCAGAGACAACCGAAAGCAAGCACAAAGCAGCAAAGCAAGCAGGCAAACAATGCAGCGAAGCGAAGCGAGCAAGCAAAGCAAATCACTCCAACCAAAACCCGACCCACCTCCGGAAACAGGACCACCACCCCGGCAGCGACGGCTGCGGCACAGCGCAGCCGGCGCGTAGAGCGACGCGATCGTTTTCCGACGAAATGGCGAGCAACAGTCGACGAGTGTAAAAGCTTGAGCCAAACGGCGCATTGGCCGTGGCATGGAAACATGCTATGAGAAAACTACATGCCCCCAAAAACACCCCCCTCGACTGTACAAAGAGATGGAGTGAATTTGGAAAGGCGCATTGGCCATTTGAAGTTGAAGAGCAACAAACAAGAAAGAAAGAGGATTAGGCTACCAGGGTTCGCAACCCCACGCCCGGGCTCGCTTTAGAGCCCGAATCCCGCCACCACCCCGAAATACGGGCATGGGGCGGATTCGCGCCGGTAGCCAAATCGAACCGGAGAGAACAAAACACGAAAAAGACAAAGGTTCAACTCCAATATGGCAGGCATGAAATAAATTGATACTGCAATGCAACCACATTGAATCATGAGATTCAAGTGGATATAATTTCTGAATTCCAGATTTAGGCGCTTTGGCCTGCTGGTTGAAACATGGTGCTTTGACCACAAGACCAGGGTCTTTAAAAATAGCACCGTCTAGGCGCGCGATCATGCGAAGATGGCCGGCACGAGTAGCACCGGCAGCCGTCAGCGGTTTAGGTCCGAGATGGACACCTCCGGCAGCGGTGCAGCGCAATCGCGATCATCGCGCCAGCACCTTGATGAGTTCCTTCACCAGCTGCATCAGCGGTTCAGGATGATGTGAATCGCCAGCGGCCATAGACGCCGGCGAGGATGACTGCCTTGCAGTGACAAGACGTACCTGGCAGGACAATGTTACCGGCGCGATTAGCGCACAGTCACACGTGCAAACGAATTATGATTCGGTGAATAACCGATTTTGGTAGATCGACGTCAGGAGCATTGTCCTACATGCGTCATCACGCAATAATTGAAATTACGATGAGATCATCGAAATGTGCAAGTGCGCATTGGCACTTTTGGGTACGACTCAGCGCATGCAGGACATGAAAGGGCATCATTTGCCCCTGCCGCCGCCGCGTCGTCCCCTTCCTTTCCCAACGTTCCAATCCCCGGGTGGGTTGGGGTGAGGTGAATTAGGATTTACATACGCGCCGGGATTTTCCGGCGGAAACTGCGACCAACCCTGCGGCATTGCGCCGGGCCACATCTGCGGCATCATGCCAGCCATGTGCTGCTGCATGAAACCCCCCATCGGGAATGTGGGGTACATGGGGCTTGGGTACGGAAAAGGGGTGTATCCCGAGCCACGTGCGTCAGGCTGATAGCCGCCTGTGGGCGTCCTCGACCGGGCGGATCCGCCACGGCCGTACTGCTGGCCGTACAGGCCGCCTTTGCCCTTCTGTTGGTCACCTTTGTGACCCTTGAATTGGTCACCCTTGTGACCTTTGCCTGCATTCGGGTCCCCTTTGGGACCCTCTCCTTTGGGCCAGGAGCCCGCAGGGGCATTGCCCTTCCGAGTATCCCGCTTGCCTTTCTGATCCGGTCGCATCGAAGCGGAGCGATTATCACCCCGAGGTGTAGCCGCCCGCCTGTGATGCTTCCCAGATGGAGGATCCGCAAACGTGATGGCGCTTTGGCCATCGCGTTGTCCAGCGGGAACCATCTCGACCTTGTTCAGGTCGGTGTAGATGTATGCTTCAGCATACTCAATTGGGACTGTTATCGTCCCACCACCGCCCCTCAGGGAGTCAATGCTCAACCTGAGGGTCTCGGTGATGTCAAAATTAGCGTCTTCGCTGGTGAAGTCCGCGAGGCGTCGCTCGGCTTGGACCATGGACATGATCACATCCTCCCGAGAGGCGCATAGGCCGTACAGCGGGACGAGGAAACCGTCCTCAACACCGATGCGGTATGCATCGTAAATATATACAGAAAGATAAAAGGCAAACGCTGATTGTAGGCTGCCTTTCCTTGTCATGTGGCGTCCCCGCTGTGCCGCGTGTTGCGGGTGGTCGATCAAATACGCCAGGACTGTCAAACCATCAGGGACTGGGTTTCCAGTCTCGCTTTCCTCGATGAGCAGTTGCTTTGCCACCCATCTTTCAAGCGCTTCATCACTCGTTCTCACGCATGAGTGAGTGTCCATGTTGGTGACTTTCTCAACCTCATGGAATGCTACCTGTACGATATCCGCATTGGGATTGTGTACGAGGTATGGCGCACAGCGCAAACCAGAGATCATGCAACTGACCACCTCACGGATCGGGTTTACCGACGCCATCAGAGGGGCCCAGCTGCACGTTTCCGCGTAGTACCAGCTGTTGGGCAGGACTGCTTTGAGTCCGTCCACCCACGTTGGCTGTCCACGCCTGATCTGAGACTGAGAAGTCCCGGGCACCCACTCCCGATAGAAAATGGGCAAGTGGCAACCATTGCATAGAATGGTGCCGTACATGTTCAAATGTGCACAACGAGGGCACCAATAGTGATGCATGGGAGCTTTGTCCCATGCGAATGACACCCCTCGCGGCGGACCCGGGACAACCAAGGCCCGGATCGCCCATGGTCGGATGTATATTACATCCCCTTCCTGGTGCAAGTAACATGCACACCAAAAAGGCGCGTGAATCTCTTCACGCACGGCAATGAAACCGCGTCGGGTTTTGTATATGCCCGCGGCGCCCTCAGTCGCCAGCCACTTCAGGTCGATCGCCACGACAACATGGCGCTTGTCCATGTACGCGGCACGTTCATCGACGTAAAACTCGCCCTCATTATTGGGGCTTGGCAGTTTCAGGAAAGGCACTTTTGCGCCTTCCATGCCAATCTGAATCTCCCCCCTGCAGATCTTGTCAGGCCGCATAGGGAAGACTTGAATGGCGAATTTGCCGGGACGTCGGATGCACCTCGTTTTGAGGGCAGATCCATACTCGGGCATGGAAAGCAGCACATATCCCGTATAAGGGACCTCCGCTGCATCCATTGGCCTCAGCAAGGGCCCGATCGGAGTACGATCGCGTAACGCCCAGCGCTTGAAAACCTTATATGGCACGTCCCTCCCGATTAGGGTGGAACGCGCAAAAATCGCTTCGCTTGTGACCTCTGTTGGGTCATTTTCCTCCCAGACTCTCCGTATTAGGAGCTCCACTGGGGGGTAGGCGGGGTGCTCCCGTGCAAGAGCACCCGCCCACTTTGCCACGTCATGGCCTGTGCACTTGACAATCCCGTGTAGGGCCTCAAAAAGCATGGAGATTAGGGGCATTGACATCCAACCTCCAAGTATGTCGGGAACCGTCCCGCATAAGCGGAAAGACGGATCACCAGGCTTGACACTTACCAACTTTGGGTCCGTGGAGCCTGACAAAACCTCTAGAAGCATATACGCCTCTCTGGAGCATCGTCCGGCGACCGTTGCTGGGTCGGCGATCTCGGGGAAAAACCCGAAGATACCGTCCCCAGCAGGACAGGCGATTCTGCCAAATGTCCTGCTCGAGGGGTCCAGTAGGACCTCCTCACCTTCGTAAGTGAAATTGTAAGTGCTCGCAATCGGGCACACGGCGGGTTTTACCATTGCCGCGTCCTCAAGCGACGCACCAACCGGGAGAAGACCGGACTCATGCGCTTTGGCATCGGTCGGAGCATTCCCCTCGGACATTCGCCGATAGTTTTCGGCACGGAAGAGAGGAAACAAATGTTTCATCCTATCAATTTCTTCCTCCGTCGTACGCCAGGCCTTCGCCTCATAGTACGGCGGCTCCTGCTTTGAGGGAATCAGATCTCTGCTCTCCATTTCGGAGAACTTGGCAACGAATGGCCCAATGCCATCGTCCTCGACGTGACCTTCGAAGTCTTCGTCCGAGATGTATTCCCTGGGCGGCTCGCCCAGTTCGTTTAGGTCGACCTCTTCAAGGTCAACCAGAGCCGGAGGGTCCAGGATTTTCTGGATCCCCATGAGCTCACTCCTGAATTGCTCAAAATCCCGCGGTGCGGTCGTCACTGAGGACGGCATAGCGTCTTCCCAGGACTCTGGAAACATGCACACGTTGGTAGGGGAATATTCGTCATCGGAAATATCCCGATCACGATCCCGTACATCGCTAATCAACGTCGCATCCAAGAAGCCGCATTGGGCCCCCGGTTGTGACGCCTTTGCGGGAGATGGCGCTGCGCCCTTCGACGCTTTGGCCGCCTCTTTGGGCGCCTTATTCTTCTTGCCATCACCCCTACTCCCTTCATTGTCCACGTCCATCGCAGACGATTGCCCGCTCCCACTTGCCCCGCCCATTGGCGGTTCGGGAGTCTTAATGGGAGATTCTTTTGTACGGGCTTTGCCTGCGTACGAACCTGACACTTGCTCACTTCCAGTGGAACCGCCGCCAGCCTCCCGTGGACGCTTGGCAGTGTGAGCCGCGCCAGTATGCACAGCAGGTGCGGACCGCTAGGGTGGCTCTTGCTAGCCACAACACCCTGAGGAGGTGGTTTCACCTTGGGAGCCGGCTCCGCCTTGGGCGCCGGTTCCGGCTCAATGACACAAGCCCTGAGGTCAAAGTTATCTGACCTCG